CTGGAGACAGTCTCCCAGGCTCCCCCACGCACAGCATCTCCGCCCGCTCGCCCACCCAGACTTACCGCTCCACTCTTGAATCCCCTCACTTGGGTTAGTATGGAAGGCCTTGAACACATGTGTCTGTTCTTACCAGGGTTGACTCTCTGCTGGCCATGAAAACAATCCCTAGTAGATTTAAAACATTGACATTGTTAAAGGCCCTGATATTTGATTTATATAGTATATGTTTTGCTTTTAAAAAGCAACTTAAAAGTACTATGTGGAGTTTCTAACCCCTAATAGCACTGTGGACCACGAGTGGACTCCATTTTGATTTTTTCCAAATCATGTGGGCCTTGGCCTTGTGTGCCAACAATGGGCCAACAAATGTGTTAATGCACCAACAAGTGCAGTGAAGAAGAAGACTGCTAGCAGTATACCACGGGTGTAAATAATGCAGGATTTTTTGCAAAAAAAAGAAAGAAAGGCTTTTCAAATGTTTAATGAGGTTGGAAAGGCACTCCACACACTTTTCAGACTTCAAGGATACACACTTTGGTTTTGGTGAGAAACAGTCAGCAGAAACTTTGTTTACAAGAAAACTTCAGAACTCCACAGGGCAACTTTAACACAAGGCTAAGCAGCAGTGTACAGCAACAGAAAAAACAGGATTTTTTAAGTTACTTTTTAATCATGTTCATGTCCTTTATTTCATCCCAATTTCTCTCTTCTAGCCTGATCCATTACATAGTTTCTGAAAGAGTATTAATATGTACAAAGTATAAAAAAAACAAAAGAGCAAAACACATTTCACTGTAAGAATTTCAATTCCTGACTGAACAGAAATGCAGTGTTGACATATTGTGATAGAAATGTTTATTTCCTCTCCTCTCCTCAGGCACCTCCTCCCAGAGCAGCTCCCCAGCATCCAGTACCCCAAACTCCCCAGCAGCCTCTCACCACATGAGGCCCAGCTCCCTGCACGGCCTGTCTCCCAAACTCCACCGCCAGTACCGCTCTGCTCGCTGCAAATCTGCTGGCAACATCCCTTTGTCCCCTCTGGCTCACACCCCCTCCCCGACCACCTCCTCTCCTCCACCTCTCAGTGGCCACACTATAGGAAGCTCCAACACCACACAGATGTTTCCTGCCAAACTGCACTCCTCCCCTCCTGTTGCCCGCCCTCGTCCCAAAAGCGCAGAGCCACCCAGGTCCCCCCTGCTGCAGCGGGTGCAGTCAGCGGAAAAGCTAGGAGCGCCAATTCTGCCTTCTTCCTCTTCATCATCATCATCTCCTTCACCTCTGACAGGTGGGGTGTCATTACGTAAGCATAGCCTGGAGGTGGCGCATGGGGACTACAGGAGAGAGTCATTCCACTGTGAGCACAGCCTGCAAAGTCTGCTAGAGATGGAAGGAGAGAATGGACCAGCTCCCCCGTCTCCTTCATCATCTTCTTCCCCTTCTCCTCCCATGGGAGGGGAGATTGGAGGCCTGAAGCCTGTTAGGAGGCTGGGAAGGCAGGAGTCACCCCTCAGCCGTGACACGCTGGTGACAGCAAAAGAGAAAGATACCCAAACCACACCGTCTGAGCTCACAGGGTCACAAACTGAGAGCATGGCTACTAAAGCTGAGTCCAAGACCAGTGTTGTTGACACAAGTAAATCATTATCCAGTGCTGAGGTCCTGAAGAAGAACATAAGTGGAGCTGCGGTGGAGACCAAGTCAAGTCCAGCTGTGGTTTCATCCACTAAAGAGGCCAAGCCTAGCCCAGGGGACAAACCTCAAACTGCAAGCAGCTCAAGTTCTGAGGCAACAGTCTCCAAGAGTAAAGTCAGTGAGAAAATGTCAACTCCCGGCACATCAAAGGCCCTCCAACAACAAGACAGCAAGCAGCAGAGTACACAGACAGGCAGCGGACCGGCAACCAAAGCTCAGAAGACTGAGGAGAAACTGAAAGGTACTGCAAGTACAGACAAAGGTAACATACAGAAAGTATCATCTGCAGAGCCGTCCAAGCCACCACGTAAAGGCGCGGAGACGGCTGAGAAAGGAGGCATCGGTGGCAGTGATAAAACCGCTGATAAAGCAACTGAGACACCTAAAGTCAAAGGACCTGCACCCCCAGTTCCCAGTCAGGTTCAAAGCCACCCTACAGCTCATGTGCCAGCTGCCACCAGATCCAAAGTGGAGAAGGTATCAAACAGTTACCGCGGGGCCAAGGAGGAGAGGGCCCACCTGGAGGTCCTGGAAGAGAATCCCATGTCGCCCTCCTCACCCTGCTCGAGCAAGTCTCGCCCCATGTCTCCAGGGGACAAAACCAGCTTTGTCACCCAGCTCACGAGCGTGGCCAAAACAGTGCTCGGGCCGATGAAAGGGGCATCGCAAGAGGGGGCCAAGGTAAAAGACACCTCCAAGTCAAGTGAGGAGAAGCGAGGCAACACAGCAGGAAAACCAGAGGCTTCGTCCGGGGGTGGCCGCCGGGGGGCGCAGACAGCGGCCTCAGTGAGCACCGGCACCGCCCAGACTGATAAAGGAAACAGTCGGAGCTCCAAGCATCATTCGTGATAAGAGAGCTTGAGAAAGAGCCAGACTCTCCCATGTAATGCCTTTTACTGTAGCATCACACTGACATATCATGAATTAACATGACTTTTTGGTTGGAGGGGGGTCGTGAATGCCTGAAGAAATAACACCAAATAGATGACATGTGACATGTAGACACATAATATGTGAACAAAGATGCATTAGCCATGTTGGAAAATGTGCGCTCATGGTATCATAATGTAGGCTTGTGTATGTACTGTATGTTCATCACAATGTGTTGTATATAAGAAAAAAAATGCATATGTCTTAATGCATGTCTGACACTGTACATGGCAAATGAGAGAATATTTAAAAAATAACAAAAGATGAAAAATATAAAGCAGACCTTAAGGTGGTGAACACTGTGAACAACTTTTCAACAACAACAACAACAACAACAAGCAAACTGTTAACTACGTGTAAACAAGCTGGATTCTGTTATAAACGGGCATTACCCACATTTCAGATCAGCTCCAGTGCCATCATTTAGTTTGAGTCGTAAAATAATTAACAGACTGTATTCCCTTAGTGTTCAGTTACTAAAAGAGTTCAGGATCATGTAGTGAGGAATATAACAAACATACTGGAAACTGGACCAAGATACAGAAATGCTTGCAGCGATGGACTTAGAGCTGGTTTGCTTCAGATCTGTTTAAGGGCTGAATTTCAGAGGAATTGAAAGAGGTAGATTAGATGAACTTGCACAGGGACACTATGCAATGTGCTAATAATGCCAGTTTTTTTTTTTTTTTTTTTGGTGTCCCTAATTAACTAAGTTTACATTGTGCTTCAGACAAGAGGAGAAGAGAGAGGAAAGGGTTGCAATAAGCCGAGCTAACACATTTTGTTGTAAACGTTGTCTCCGTTGATCGTAGTGAAATGTGCAATGATATGTTTTAGGCTATATTGAGTGAATATACTAGTATGTTGGGAGACAAAGTGCGTAAAGTACCATAATGAAAGCAGCACTCATAGGAGACTAGGCTAGAAATGCTCTTTCACTCATTCTTTTCTATTTATGCAGATGTATGGTATATTGTGTATAATGTCACGTGTGAAGGAAAGTGCCAGTCTTTTTATTTAGGGATAATGTGATTTTTTTTCTGTTTACACTTAAATGTATAATAATATGCAATCCAACAGTGCCCAGTTCCATAAAACTGAGCACGCTTGTCAGTGAAACAGTAGTAGACTACACACAAAGCCAGGAGTAGATATGTTGAGAGCATCTTAGTGGTGAGGTCTTGTTTGTACTTGTGTATTACAGAAAAATGATGTTGATAGTTTTGGGACACCAGGCTCAGACCTGTCTTAGACTGCCACCTTGTGGACGACATCACATGACACCCTAAGTCCTGAGGTACAAAGACAGATAGGTGTTTTTTTGCCTGTGGATCTTTCCATTTCATACATTATTATTCTGATGCATCAGTCGATGAACACATTTAGATTTCAGATGAGATTTGCAGTCAAAAAGTCTTTATTTTATCCATGAGGATGTAGTGGTTATCAGACATTAACCCACTGTTTGGACTTTAAACAGCTGTGTTTTTGTGTGTGATGTGAGAAAACTGCACTTTATTTTGTGTCAAATATTTTTTACTTAATTATCTTGTATATTTATTTTATTACTTTTCTATTTGTTCTATTTATCCATTGTTTTTATTTATTCAAACATTTTTTTTACATGTCATCAATTAGTAAATTTCTGCTCTACTACTGAAATTAGTTATTTATAAATTTTACATTTAGACTGACAAATCTACCAAATCTCTGTGGCTACCCATTGTGTGCAGTTTTGAAGTTTGTCATTCCATAAGTCTGAAATTGTAATATTGCTGTCATGTCCACCTTTGTCCAAGTGTTTGACTTTTTTACAACAACAACTATCTCTTGACTGTTGTTGTCCATTACATTGCTACATATTTACTAGCCACTGTTGTGAAAAACCAATGCAAAAAAGCCTATAGTGAAGAAATGTAATAAAATGCAGGAAAAAAAACTAGTTTTGTCTGAATTTTATTTTTAGATAAAACGTTGACAGTGTATAGGGTGCCAGTGTTGTGTTAAACAAACTTTAGACAATTAAATTCCAGTTTTGTTTGTTAAAATCAAAGTAATGGGAATATTTCCAGCTGCTGAATGTAATTGTTTCCATTTTCAAAGCTAATTTCCTCCATTGTTTCAAATTAATCCAATACTGTAATTGGATTTTAAATTAGGGAGGTGACAAAAAAACAACAATATACAATATATTTTTTATATATATGATATTGGAACTAATTGTTATTATTAATTATTAATTTGTTAGAGGGGTAACTGACATATGTTTCACTGTAATATTATTACTAGTAATGAAGGAACTCATGACGGGTATAAAGTGATTGGTCCGCTGTTGACCAATCACAGCAGCGCTAATACGTGACCAGTATAAACAGGAAGTGAGTGCACATTTATTACGCTGCTCCTTTCTAACACGACTGCAGACTGTTTGTGTGTCTATGGTTTGATAAACACACCGACTCCTGCAGTGGAGTCCATCCAATGACTTACTCTGATCAAAGGAGACACAATGACGGCTCCCGAATGAAGGTAAAAGGTGAATTTAATGCATCCATACTTTAATAAATCCTCTGTCAGTGAACGAGCTCTGAAGGTGGGATGCCCAAAAGTTAATGTCAGGAAATGAAAACTACACAGAACATGGTTAGACCTTGAGTTATATTTGATTTACAGTGTCCTATATTTGTTTAAGTTTATGTGTCAGTACTATGTCACTGTTAATTGGTGTTAATTATACTAATGTGTGCGTTTTTGTATGAGCAGGTTAGCCAGATAGCATGCAGCTTTTAGATGAATGTACAGTAATTATGGCTTCATGTTATTTATTAATCCGTATTTTAATCGCTTAGACTTCAACAGTGGCCACCATTTTTTGTTATGTTGTCTAACCAGCAGTTCAAATGTTGTTTTTTAAATTTAGTTAACTGGAAATGATGAACTCGTTTATTTACTATCTGTAAATAATGAGGTTTTTATTGTTTATGTTTAAATTACAAAGGAGCTAAGAAGTGTTGTTATGTTATGTCTTTATTTATTTTATATTAATTTTCACGTGGGGCATATTGTTATTATTATTATTATTATTATTATTATTATATAGTTATGAGTTAATGGAAAATGAATGAAGACTTTATTTTTAACTAAATATTTTTGAATGTATTACACTACTCATACTTATTAAGTGTATTTTCATATTATGCTGCTTCATAGTTCTAACGTTACTTCACTAACGTTACATCTCAGTGGGAAATGTACTTTTACTCCACTACATCTATCTGACCGCTATATTTATAGTTGTTACTTTCAGATAAAGATTTTATCTCAAAAACACTATATGATAAGCTCATGAAATTCAAAGATTAAACACGTGGTTCCCAACCGTTTTGGATTGTTAAAAGATTGTTTGATTTAAAATTTCAAAAAACAGATGAGAGAGAAAAGTGAAAAAATACCATTGATTCTTGTTTCTCTTTTAATTAATCAATTCACGACCCCTCTGGTTTATCTTGTTTTCGACGGGGCCTGACTTCTGTGTATGGATCCACTGAACTAAAATAAGAGCTCCCTACTATCTTACACATTGATCCATCAGTATCAACAATCAAATAATATCCTATATGATAATAATGATGATGATTATAATACTTGATAAGTTTTTCAATGCATAACTTAGTATCTTTTACATTTACTTAGGTTGAAGATCCGAGTACTTTTCAACCACTAATTACATTACTGACATACAATATATACCTATTTAACGGCACACATTTGTGTCGGTGAACGCTGTTTGTTGCAGTCGTCTTGTATCTACTGATGTTTTAGAGGAGGGAAGCCAAATGTGGGGGAGAATAGTCTTTCACCAGCACCTCTCCTGCTGCAGCTAAATTGACATATCTGAAATTCCTTGAGTCACAGGATGCAGTCACATGGTTTTCTCTCTTTACTTACTGTCATTGAGAATTATTCACTTTGCTGTGGTTAACATTAACCATTAATGAGCTCTGGAGTCAGAACATGTTTGTTTCAAGACACAATAATATAATTTACTGTATGCGTTTGCATCATGTTCTTGTGTCACGTGTATATAATGTTGTCTAATGCCCCTTTTATGTCTACGTAGGCTGCTGCTGTGAAAAGGAGCAATTCTTCACGCTCTGTCTCTGTCATCTCCAGTTGTTATGAATCCCAGCACCTCCTCGGCTCACTGCGTGGGCCAGTCTCCTACAGATGATCTAATGGATGACTGGCTCTTACTCTCTACTGAGTCTGCTGGGCCTCAGCACCTGGAAGTGAGCAGGGAAGACCAGGAGGGAGAGGACAGAGGCAAATTCAAATCCAAGTTGGTCTCAGCATGGAACAGCGTCAAATATGGTCTGTTTTACTGCTCTGACATAGTAACTCTTTTATATTGTTACTGTGTAATAAGAGCAGATCTGATTGTTCTCCTTGGTTTGGGGATATGAAACTGTGTCTCTTTCCCCTTTAATGTTTCAGGCTGGTCTTTGAAGCAGAAATCCAAATTCAGCAAGAGCTCTCCTGTGATCATGCTCGGACAATCCTATGAGCTCAAGGATCAAGGTGAGGCCTTGAGCAGTGGGCCTTCATACCACCTGAAATTGTCTCCTACATGTGAATCTAAAACCAAAGTTTTTATTTAATTTTAATTCAAGCTCTGTAACTGTGTCAGGTGAGAGAGAGCGTTTCCGTCGCTCCTTTGCATCTCTCCTGTGGCTGACATACAGACGGGGTTTCCCTTCACTGGCAGGCAGCTCCCTGACCACCGACAGCGGCTGGGGCTGTGTTCTACGCACGGGGCAGATGCTGCTGGCGCAAGGCTTGCTCCTGCACCTGAGGCCACCAGGTGACCACAGACACAGGCACACGGCAATGTCACCTGCAGCTGGATAGGTCAACAGACACACATTCATAAAAATATTGTCATCTGAACTGTCTGATCTCATGGGAAGGACTAATTCTGGTACACAACATGTAACAAATGTGTCATTGTCAGATATACTCAGACAATCTAAGATAGGCTAGTAAGCCTTTAGCAGGGCTAGTCCAGATTATATCTAGCTACTGCTTTACTAATGTGTTAAACTCAATTACTAAGATGTTTGCGCAAGATTTTTCAGTTACAGAAAACCAGTCAGAATAAGTCTGTAAATTAGCTTTAGCTAAAGTTAGCAATGACTGCCCTCCAGCTAGTGTTACCTACCAGGAGTGCAGACACTGCAGTTTGGTTTTTCACATATTTTCCTATAAATGTTGTGTGAGGATGAAAGGATAAACATTTATTTGTCCAAAAGTCAGATTCTGGTTCAGTTTTGACCAAATGTGTAGTTACTGAGTTTGGGCTTTGTACAGCAGTGCAGTGTTGCCATGTTTACAATAAGGTAGACTTCAAAATGCTCACAAAGTTTAAGTAAGATTAAATAACAATAATACAAATGTACTTAAAATATCAAAAGCTTGGTTACAGTACATTTTGTTCCTTCCACCCTTGCGTCACATATTGTGACTTATCTGTGTGATAAGAACAACGAGGAACAAAGCAGTCTGTCCAGGTCATAAGAGAAACCATTTCATGTTGATATTTGGTCTTATACTCATTTTACTTTCTCTTTACATCATTTTAAGGTTGGACTTGGTCTGTGAGCCACCATGCAGTTAAAGATGACATGGACCTTCTGGTGACTCGTACCACAGACAGTGCAGAGCGTGGAATGAATTTAAAGGAAGGGCCCAGCAAGAGGGGTCGCAAACTGAGCTTGGATTCCTGCCTGAACAGAACCATGGAGGCTTCACACAGGAGGGTGGTATCGTGGTTTGCAGACCATCCCACAGCCCCGTTTGGGATACACAAGCTGGTGGAGTTGGGCAAAAGCTCAGGGAAGAAAGCCGGGGACTGGTATGGACCTTCTATTGTGGCACATATCCTCCGGTGAGACCTGAAGTTCAGTTATCCTAACCAACTTTTATGAAAATGTAACCTATAATGTATCCTACTGTAAATATCATCTTGTTTCAGGAAAGCTGTGGCAGCATCGGCGGACCTTCCTAATCTAGTCGTGTATGTTGCACAAGATTGCACCAGTGAGTAATTTCTTTCATCAGTGTATTTGCTCTCTCCTCTGAAGGGCAGAGCCAATGCAGCAGTTTCCCCACAGCTGTACAAACAGAGAAATGGATCAGTGCTTTAGGCTTATTTAGACATTCCTCTATTATTGAGGAGAGTGGGCGATTTAAATCATCTGTGAGTATTTATATATATTTTTTCATTTTGCTGCTTTCTATTTACATGATCTGCAATACCATAATAAAACAGCTCAGCCTTTCTTTGTGGATTAGAAAAAAGTCTTTTTCCTTAAAGGACCCCGTTTTCTATCATTGAGTAAACTGACAACCCCTGACCAAGTGACGTATTTTATGGATATTTAATTAATTATTATTTATTATATTCACTGCATAACAATAACAGTACAGAACAACTGGTAAACCGTACAATGAACCCAAATAGTGAACAATAACTGCAGGACGTTTGTGTAAAACGAGTGATTTGGATGAATTTCCTTTTAATTACTTCAGAGATCCTAATAATTTAGGGAACTTTTTTTTACAATTTCTGTATTATGTATTTTGGACATTTTTAACAATCATACATACTTAACAGGCTCTAACCCCCAGGTTGGGAACCACTGTGGTAGAACTTGCGCCCCAAGTACTAAGGCTTTCTCTCTACTTTCTCTCTCCCCACTTTCCTGTCTCTCTTCAGCTGTTCGTGCCTAATAAAGGCGATAAAAGCCCTAGAAATAATCTTTGAAAAAAAAAAAACGTTTAGAGGAATTATTGAACCATGGCTCTTTCTTTCTTTGTTCAGTCTACTTGGAGGATGTGAGGAGTTTGTGTGAGCGGCCTCCCCCTCAGTCCTGGAAGTCTGTCATCATCCTGGTTCCTGTGCGACTTGGAGGACAAGATCTCAATCCGTCCTACATCACTTGTGTCAAAGTATTTTATGCATTCACTCCTATGTGCATTCACTGAGTAGTCTTCTATGAGGTCAAAGTGGGGTCATTGTGGGGGTTTTCAGCAAAAGTAGTACAGCTACAGTATAATTTACTATAAAGTAACTCGTTACAGTAGTGTGATTATAGGCTTCATTCTCCTTGTGTACAATGTGGTCGCACAGTTCAGTAATAAATCAGCATCCCCCTGAATGGGTTTCTCTCTAGTCTGAAAAGTAAGTACAAAGAACAACAACCCATTCATCATCTTCTGCACAGAAACTCTTGACATTACAATGCTGCATTGGAATCATTGGGGGCAAACCGAAGCACTCTTTGTTCTTCATCGGCTTCCAGGGTATGTGTGCAGCACAGTGTACATCATAATCACTGTGCCCAGCTGTTTGATGTCAGTCCTTTCACTTTTTTTTCTTCCTCTGGCCCTGCTGTGCAAAAGATGACCATCTGCTGTACTTGGACCCTCACTACTGTCAGCCCACAGTGGATATAACAAAAGAGAGCTTTCCCTTGGAGGTATGAGGAAGTCATGTTTCTCTTTTTCTTTTTGGTTTCTGTTTCGTTTCGTCATGTGACACCTGTGCTCAGTCAGTCATGTAAATCAATCAATTTTTTTTAAAGCCGTACCCCCAAAGTACTGTCAGCTGCACTCAAGTACCCCTCCATCAGCACCACCAGTCATGTTCCAGTTGTGTTTATTTAAATAACTGGATGTTATTTAACACTATTGACTATAACGGTGGATTTATTTCTCTTTTTTTTTTTTGCCCAATTTATACATAGTTTTTAGCTCACTAGACTTTTCAGCTCACTTACTAACTAGTTTTCACACGGTGATCAGCGTTACAGTTTTTTCTTTTCCAATTGATGCAATCTACATCAGGAATATTTGCTTTGAATCTAATGAGACCTTTTTCTGATTTGTGTTCTTTTATTTTGCTTCCTCTCCCGTCGCTTGCAGTCCTTTCACTGTAAATATCCCAGGAAAATGTCTTTCTCTCGCATGGACCCCAGCTGTACCATAGGGTTCTATGCTAAAGGCCAGAAGGACTTTGAATCACTGTGCACTGTTGTTTATGAGGTATGTGACTGGGTTATTTGGGTCTCTTTTCATGGAACATTTGGCTTGTTAACATGCTCCAGTGTAGCTGCTATGTATCTTCTCCCATAGCTAGTTGAGTTATTGTTCTGTCTGTTTCTCCCATAGGCGCTCTCCACATCTGCAGGGGCGTACCCCATGTTTATATTTGCAGAAGGAAAAAGTCAGGAAGAGGAGAGAAGTAAAACGCCCACAAACAATATCACCTACATCCAGAGGAAGAGTGAGCGGAAGAGAGTCGACACCAGCAACAGCCTGGACGAGTTTGTTCTATTATGAACAGAAGAAGATCAAATCTGCCCTGAGGGGCGAACCGATGGTGATCAATGATCACACTATATGAGACTGTGTGACACTGTGTGGCAACTACTGAGCGTAAGAACGAAATGTCCTTAATAACCTGAAGGGACTTCCTTTAAAGGTTTTGTAAAATGAAGTGGCCAGGTATCATTAATGACACTACAATATTTTTTATTGCTGTTCTGTGCTCATTTGAATTTTTATTTATTGTTTTAAGATGAGAAAATTTCATTTAATATTCAACTGAAGAACTTAAAAGGATGTTTTTCTTCTATCTCAATTTGTGTTTATCCATGAAGCTGTGTTCTTTTTACTTTAATATATTCAATAGAATGAAAGTATAATAATAGAAATAATACATTTCATCCAGGGACAAACTTGAGGTAGGGTTTTACTGAGATATACAGTGTCACTGTTTCATGTCATGTGACAGGCAGTGCTGCCTTTGAATGGATTAGAAAATTGGATTCCTTTAAACATGTGACTCAGAAATTAGAAACAATAAAAGAACACAACTTTACTTTAGGAGTCAAACATTGTGGGGAAAAAAAACTGTATTTACTGAAAATATTCTTACAAGCTGGATTATATTTGCTGTCTTTTATCCAAATAAACAATTTAAGAACAAAGAACAAAGGAATTCATTTTTAATTCTGTTCACCGTCAGGATGACACATTTATTGCAGTGGAGTGCTTTTTGAGTTTTTAGGGACTGTATGAAAATGATTGGGGTGATGAGAGGGGGCAGATGTTTTTATTTTATAAGAAAGCAAGTTCCTCTGCAGCATTATATTATATTATATATATATATATATAATATTGTCTTTGGACCCTGACTGCAGTCTCCTCCCCCATCTATCTCAAACATGGTAAACATAAAATATTCTTTCTGTTGGTTGTTCCTCCACTTTGGTCCAGACTAAAATAATAATAATATTACAGACGCTGTGGGTCCGCTATGTTAAACATCCATGTTTCTACAGTAGCCCAGAACAGACAAACCCTGGCTCTCAATAGGGCCTTTTGTGTTTCACCATGTTTTTACTTCACAGCCCACTCTCATTCCCGGGTTGTCAAATGAATACGCGACTGGTGTTGAGTTGGTTGCAATCTGCAACTTCACCACAAAGACTGGCCTCGTTTTGAGCCTGTGCACCTGAGAGTGTCTCCTCTCGTAGTCTTGGTACTGGCAGCCAGTCCCTCTCTGTCCCTTCTTTCTCCGGTTTTTGTGCCGATTATGAGGGATTTGAAAAAGAAAAATACAAGGATTCAACAAAATAATATTAAATATTTCATAATAAATGTATGTGTAATTTTCGATTTTCTGAATGGTTGTTTTTTTTTTAAAACTTGGTGGTTTCCTCTCAAGCAGATTAAAGATACTGACACAGAGACCTGACATCACCTTCCTTAAGCTGAGCGATCACGTCAGCCAACATGCAGCAGTAAATAACTGTTTGTCAGGCCAGAAATTACATAGAGATTTAAAAATTTTCTTCACAATATTCCTGACAATAATTATGGTGTGTACGTTTGAATTGATCTGATGTGTGTGCTGTTGTCATTAATTATGTAGATTACTAAAACAAAAAGCATTACACTTCCATTCAGGTGAAGAAATGGTATGACCTACTTTTTGCAGGTAAAACCATAACCCACTTTTAGGTCCATCAAACATAAAAGGAACATGAAAGGGGCCTCTTTGTTGTAGATAATAATAATGAATAAATTATTTGATTATTTAAGTAGTTTTAAAGGCACATAGACTGAATAATATTAGGTATGGATCTGTTGTTTGGTCAAAACAAGCATTTTAAAGAGGTGATCTTGGGTTTTGGGACGTTCATGGGCGTTTTTCACTAAACTTCTGCCATTTTTTTAGACGAACAAACAATCTATTAACCTACAATGTGTTTATCAGATGAATCAATCATGGAAATAATCGTTAGTTGCAGCCCTGGTGATGAATAATTTGTGGTGGTTGGTTTTTTTTTCTCAAGCACAAGCACAGGCTGGCTATAATGAGACACCCAAATCTGACTGCTGCTGTCTCTCCATGTCTCCACTAATGCTCCACGGCCTTGTAAAGTTCGCTTTCTTGCACATATCAGAGCATTTTAGTGTGCTCACACTGAAATAAACGCGAAATAAATGATCTCTCTCGCTGTCTCCTCCACAATACTCAGAGCTCTCCCATCCCCCACACCGGCTTCTCGCTCGTTCATCCCCCACTGTAACGCAGCCTTTACTGGGCATGCGGGAAGTGAGTGAGGCGGCGGATGGGGGCGCTACAGAGTCGCACAGGCCGGGTCCCTGCGATACAATCTACCGAGAGAGGGGGGTGAAGGAAAAAAACCAACTGGGTAGGTCGGTCTTTGTTTCTGGCTAGGAGGAAAAACCAAGAGACGCTGCAACCGGTGAGGACTTCAAACATCACCTTTCACCACTCGTGTAAGTCTACTATAATGTTGCGTTTAAGCCGACACAGTTGTGTGTGTGTTTTACGCTGCTGGAAGAGGATACATGTGCCTCAATACGGTGTTTTTTTGTTCAGGGGGGGAGAAAAAAAAGAGAGAGACGACATTAACAGCGCCGCTGCTGTGGCGCGACAGTGCAATGAATGAAAATTGTTTTTGGAAATGTGCTTAGAGCGGAGCACCGAGCCAAAGGTACGGGAGGCGCGTTGGATCAATCAGCCCCAGCGATGAGCGATGCTCTAACCCTTTCACATGTCGCCGCATCTGGACGAGCATCTCGACAAACAACACATTTTGTTTTGTGCCTAATTGGCCTCGGAGAGCGTGGCCCGGCTAAGCTAACTCGTAGCATGCTAGGGCACCGTCAGCAGCCAGCTTATGTTGTTGTGTTGAGCTAGCAGGCTAGCCGGAGTCGGGCTTGTGTTAATGTAGCTTTATCGTCGGTTTAGTGTCATTTTACGACCGCAAGAGTGTCTCCAGTGAATACAAGTAAACCCTGCTACATTGTGTTGAATAAAGGGAGGTTAAAACGACGAGCTTGCGGACATAATGTGACGTTACTGTTAAATCCGGCTAGGCCTGGCTAACGCTAGCAAAGCTACCGATGCTAATAATAGCTAACCTAATTGATATTTCCTTGTAAATGTAAACACTGCAACAATTGGACTAACAGAGTTTTTACTTGGAGCTGAAGTTACTGCTCTCTCGGTCACTTTACCTATAGGTCTGTGTGAGTACCAGCAGGGTTGTATCATGTTGAAAAGAGCCGCTTGTACGTGGTTTCTTTTTCTTTAAATTCATAGTTTTGACCCATGTAGGGACAGTTTAATGACCCCTCGGTGACCCACTGTGTGTGTGTGGGAAGCTCACATTTTGCAGATACAGTTAAATGACCCTCATTTGTAGCTTCCATGTCAGATATGTGGCGCTGGTGTTGTGAATGATCTTGTTCCATTCAGCATCTGTGACACTTTCGTTAATAGGGGTTCAGGGTTGGATGTATTTGAGAGGACAGGGCAGCCCCACAGCAACATGAAAACTATTATTTCCTGTGATCACTTGTGGTTTAGAGGTTTTGGTTTTAGTTCACACAACAATGGAGAGGAATTTATGTCCGTGGTTCGCGCTTTGCAAAGTTCAAACACAATACATCTGAAAAACACAACAGCTGCATCACTTTTCTAAAATAATCACATAACATGATCCACAGAAGTTACTGAGAGCTACTGTCTGAGTTAACCGCCATCTGTATTGACTTAATGTGTGACTGTGATTACCAATGTAATTGTGGTTTGAAAGAGACGCAATGATTGAGTTCTTCATATGTTGTATACAGTGCACTGAGCTTGTTATATTATGTAGCTCCAGACATCAGCACGTCTCATCCAACCTTATCTGGTCAACTTGTGCTTCATGAAAGATGAAAATGGATGAACTGTCCATTTTTTAAAGGTCCAGTGTGTAACATTTAGGAGAATCTATTAGCAGAAATAGAATATAATTTATCAATTTTTTTTCTTTATTTTCAATAATAGATAATTGTTTTCATTAGTCTATAAACACCTGAAAATAAGAATCATTAGATTCAACTTAGAATAAACCATTTTTATCTACAGCAGGTCGCCTTTTATGGAGTCCACCATGTTGAACCCTGATGTTTCTACAGTAGCCTAGAAGGGATAAACCAAACCCTGGCTCTAGATTGGACCGTTTCACAGCTGCCATAGTTTCTCCTTTGAGCTTGGTAGGGCTTTGCAATCTGCAATACACTACTAGATGCCACAAAATCCTACACACTGGACTTTTACAATAATAGTATATTCTTCACTATTGTATTTGAAGACTTAGTACACTTCTAAAATAATATGTGATTATGTAGCATAGGTTACTCTTATTTAGACTTAAAACGATTACTGCACTGTGAATTAAGTTAACAAACACGTGTGACAGATGGATTCTGATCTTATTCCTGTCATCTCTCTTCACAGGGGTACTTGCTGCTGCCACACATTCCCAGTTTCCCCTGAGAGATGTCCACCCCTGACCCCCCGATGGGAGGGACACCTCGGCCCGGACCCTCCCCGGGCCCAGGGCCATCTCCAGGAGGCATGATGGGCCCGAGCCCAGGTCCCTCGCCAGGCTCAGCCCACAGCATGATGGGGCCCAGCCCAGGACCTCCAGGATCTGGACACCCCCACCCTCCACAGGGACCCTCAGGATATCCTCAGGACAACATGCACCAGATGCATAAAGTACTAACTGTTAAGAACTTTTATTTTTTTATTCCTTTTTTCTTTCTTCATGTATTTCATTAATATAATATAATATAATTAATATATAAATATATTTGCACCTTAGGTTGAAAATACACTAAATTAATTAATGTTTTCTATTCATCTTTTGATCTACTGTTTTGTGATTGAGCAGTGTTGCCTGCTCTCTGCATGTGTTGGTATCTGTTGTTGAGAATCGTAATCTAATCATTACCTTTTAGAGTTTACATCCTTTACAACATGGCTTACAAACTAAGACTGTGTATAATATATACCTTTTGTGGCAATTAAACAATAAATAGTTTGTTCACAAATGATTATCCTCTGTCTTTTAATCAGCCCATGGAAGCCATGCATGAGAAGGGAATGCCCGATGACCCCCGCTATAGCCAGATGAAGAACATGGGCATGAGACCAGGGGGGCACAGTGGCATGGGACCCCCTCCAAGCCCAATGGACCAACATTCCCAAGGTAACACATCTCATAATATTGTGTTTTATGTAGCTTGTGCTGTAAATACTAGAGATTAAATGCGGTCTTTGTGATGTGCTTGCAGTCTGAAGGTTGCCACAAATAACATGAGTTGTGTACGTAGTCAACATGGGTAAAGACAGATTAACATTAAAGATCTCCTTTTTGTCCCTGAAAAGCCTCACACGGGAAGAACAGCTAACTGAGTCGCACAGACTCAGACACACATACTGTACCGTGTGTGAACTCATCTAGCTGGTTTCTCTTCTTGTGTTGCTGTTTTGGCAGCATGAGCAGAAAGCAGTGGGCAGGACAACGGGAGGGGCGGGGTTGAGGGGCTTCCCCTTTCAGACAGCAACAAAAGCAGCTGCATCTACAAAACCACACAGTCAGTAAGCAAAAGAGGAGGATATGAAGAGAGACACATGCATAGGAAGACATGAAAAAAAGAAAATGACTTGACAGCAGTGTGTTTGAGCAGAGTATAAAGTGATTAGTTAAGTCATTTTCTGGCCAGTATTTGGACTTGTAGCCTAAAATAAAGACAATAAAATGACACGTTATGTAGCTTATAGTCAGTATTTTAATTGTAATTATGGCCAAATTTGACTTATTTGTTAAAATGCTTTGAACCTTCTAAAAATTACTCATGATCAGTATGTCCTCTGTATCATATGAAAAACCTTTTTAAGCTCTATGTCTTCGGCATACCCATCATGCATCTGTTCTGTGTCCCCCAGGTTACCCCTCTCCATTGGGAGGCTCGGAGCACGCACCTAGTCCTGTCCCAGCCAACGGCCCTCCCTCTGGCCCTATGATGCCCGGAGGTCCCTCTGTCCCCGGGCCTGGCGCTATGGAGGCTAGTGGGGATCCTAACCAGGGAATGGGTCAGCCTAACCGCGGGGGTCCCCAGGGACCAGGCGGACCCGGTGTTGCGGGAGGTGGACCAGGTGGCGCAGGCGGACCCACCCCTTTTAACCAGAACCAGTTGCACCAACTCAGGGCTCAGATTATGGCCTACAAGATGCTGGCACGCAGTCAGCCCTTACCAGATCACCTGCAGATGGCCGTGCAGGGGAAGAGGCCCATGCCAGGGATGCAGCAACAGCCGATGCCTAACATGCCACCTGCTGCTGGACCTGGAGGTGGGCCTGGGGCTGGTCCGGGACCCGCTCAGGCCAACTACAACAGACCACATGGTGAGTTAAGTCAGGAAGGCTATTTACAGGGTGTCCGAGGGGGCTTAAATAGTTTAAAAAACAACCATCGGAATTTTTAAAATGTCTTTTATATGATTTGACAGGTTTATTGTGTTAATGAGGATTACATTACTTGTAATTTGAGTTACATTTTTAAGATCTTGCATTCAAATGTTTTTGGGAACGGTGTGTCTTGATCATGCTGTAAGAACCTAAAAACAAAATTGACTTGGAACCAATACCGATTTTCCCTCAAACGTTTTGTCAGTACGGATGTGAAATAGGTCTTAAATTGCCTTCATAATGTTCCTAAAATAAGCTTAAAACAAAGAATTCAGAATATGTGGCAGCTCAGCAGAGACACCTGGTGGTTGAACATGCATTTTGTTGCTTTTATCTGTCTCAGTGTTTACCTGGAAAAAACGAATGTTTCTTCTTGTTTTAGGCATGGTAGGTCCCAATATGGCGCCTCCTGGACCTGCAGGAGTTCCCCCAGGTATGCAAGGCCAGCCTACCAACGGACCCCCTAAATCATGGCCTGAAGGTAAACTTATTTTGCGGCTCACCTCAGACAGCACTGTGTATGCTTATGTGCAGACACAATTAAACTGATCTCTTCTGATTGCTCTCTTCTAGGACCAATGGTGAATGCTGCTGCCCCATCCAACACTCCTCAGAAGCTGATTCCACCTCAACCCACTGGCAGACCCTCTCCCGCTCCTCCCTCTGTGCCCCCCGCTGCCTCCCCAGTAATGCCCCCTCAGACGCAGTCCCCAGGACAGCCTGCCCAGCCCCCTCCCATGATGCTTCACCAGAAGCAGAACCGCATAACCCCCATCCAAAAACCCCGCGGGCTGGACCCAGTGGAGATCCTCCAGGAAAGAGAATACCGGTAGGAAACAAAAACACACTTGAGCAGTGTTGAATTGTACACCGTATATTTTATTTTAAACTCTGTAACACGCCCTCCTCTGTTCCTTATTTGCAGGCGTCCAACCACTGTAACCCTTGTTAAATTAATATTTTCTGTACTTAATGTTTATATTTGTTTATTTTATTACATGTCTGATCCCTCTTTCTGATCCTCCCTAAATAGGTTTAAGTTTAAAATTATTCAATTCATTTTATTTATTTATTTTTTTACTTCTGTGAGTGAGTAGTTCAACAAATTAATCCTCTGAATAGAGATTGATTTCTGAGGTTTTCATAGAAGACAGAAACCTTTTTAATGCATTGTCCAGAAACCTATAAATTAGTACAAATTACTGAGAAGTGGATCAAAAGACAGAACCCAGTCTCATTGTTATTCATGAGCTTTATTCGGTTACAAAGATGGGATTTGAACTCTTTTGGAGTTTTATCGTATAGTTAGATTTTAAAGGTTTATGAATGAGAATACCATGATTCTGCCGTCCTGATGGTCATCACTGATACCATTTTTTATTTATTTTTTCTCTTCAGGCTACAGGCTCGTATTGCTCATCGTATCCAAGAGCTGGAGAACCTCCCTGGCTCTCTAGCTGGTGACCTGCGCACCAAAGCCACCATCGAACTCAAGGCCCTGAGACTGCTTAACTTCCAGAGACAGGTATCTACAGTTATCTGCAAGAAATGCTTAAAGGATGGACAACTGTAGCACATTTAACCGCTGCCTATTTAATCATTCTCCAGCGTTACTTGCCTGTTGTTGTTTTCCCCAGTGGAATAGACACAGTATTTAATATGTCGACTTTTTTTGTGCCTATAGCTGCGCCAGGAAGTGGTGGTTTGCATGCGCCGTGACACCGCTTTGGAAACTGCCCTAAACGCTAAGGCGTACAAGCGTAGCAAACGTCAGTCTCTACGTGAAGCCCGCATCACCGAGAAGCTTGAGAAACAGCAGAAGATCGAACAGGAGCGTAAACGTCGCCAGAAACACCAGGTACACCGGGTGAAAGGACTCATGTGGGTGGAAGTAAAGCGGGTGGTTTATAGCAGGCTAAAGGGACTCAGTTGGCTGTGTGTAGCATTTTCCTGATTGTATCTAATGAAAGCAATGTCCTGTTAGTGGATATTTTTTTGTGACTTATGTTAGTAAGTCCCAAAAACAAAACAGATTTACTCAAACAGCAGAAAAAAACAGAAGTATTATTTCAAAAAGTGAAACCAGAAGGTAAAAGAGAAGACAATAAACAGAGAAGCTTGTCTTCTTTTCACATCATTTCCATTTCTAATTTAATAACGGCAGTGGCTTTGTGTGTCCTTCTGTTGACAGGAATACCTCAACAGCATCCTGCAGCACGCCAAGGACTTCAAGGAGTACCACCGCTCCATCACAGCAAAGATCCAGAAGGCTACCAAAGCTGTCGCTACCTATCATGCCAACACTGAGCGCGAGCAGAAAAAAGAGAACGAGCGCATTGAAAAGGAGAGAATGCGGAGGCTGATGGTGAGACTCAAATCTATGAAGGAGAACCCTGAATATCATATGCTATTAGGTGTTCAGATATATGGAATACATGTTACTGAGTCTGTGTATATTAGTCCCAACACAAGCACCTAATATCTCTGTGAATCTTGTCCCAGGCTGAAGATGAAGAAGGCTATCGTAAACTCATTGACCAAAAGAAAGATAAGCGTCTGGCCTACCTGCTACAGCAGACAGACGAGTACGTGGCCAACCTCACCGAGCTGGTGCGAGCCCACAAAGCCGTACAAGCTCTCAAAGAGAAGAAAAAGAAGAAGAAAAAGAAGGTGAATGTTTAGCACTGGCATTTGTAATGCTTCTGTTTTGATAGTTTAAATTGCAGTTTTGCATATTGTTTTCATTTTCTTGTATATTTTCAGAAGCCAGAGACTTTGGATGGTGGTTCTTCCGGCATGGGACCTGATGGAGAGGTGAGTTTGACGTTATTATTAATAATCTTAATGTGCAGTTAGTTGCTGTACCTAACATGCTTTTATTTCTCTGTCTTTTCTTTACGGTATTAATGTTTTTCTCATTTGCTCTCCTCTCCCAGCCTTTAGATGAGACCAGTCAAATGAGTGACCTGCCGGTGAAGGTCATCCACATGGACAGTGGAAAGATCCTGACTGGGGTTGAGGCACCTAAGGCTGGCCAGCTGGAGGCCTGGCTTGAAATGAACCCAGGGTCAGTATCATGTCTGCTTAATAATACCTTAAACCAGAAAGATATTCACTGTTTGTTGAATTCAGTCATTTCTATTGTGTTGGTAATGCATATACATATCTTTAACCTCGTTCAACACATTTTTCCTTTGCAGATATGAAGTAGCGCCACGTTCAGACAGTGAAGAAAGTGGTTCAGAAGAGGAAGAGGAGGAGGAGGTACAGAAAATGGCGAACTCCATGTCCAAGAAAAATTGTAATTTGTCATTTCTGGCAAGCAATTTCTGACCTCTGTTTTGTTTCTTTTGTCAGGAGGATGACGAAGAGCCTCAGCCCTCTTCAGCTCCAACGGAGGAGAAGAAGAAGATTCCTGACCCTGACAGTGAAGAAGTATCTGAAGTGGATGTCCAGCACATCATCGAGTAAGATAGTCACTGAGATTTTGGCCATCTTTTTTTTCCTCTCTAAAAAATGACAGGTCATGATTAAGTTCCACAGATATTTTCCTTTACTTGTTTCCATTTGCTGTTTTTCATCCACCCAAAGAAGTCTCACTGTATTATGTCCCCCGCCTCTGCTTCCCCCAGACATGCCAAACAGGATGTAGATGATGAGTACGGCAATGCAAGTTTCAACCGAGGCCTGCAGTCCTACTACGCTGTGGCTCACGCTGTCACTGAGAAAGTGGACAAACAGTCCACACTGCTGATTAATGGGCAGCTCAAGCAATACCAGGTATACAACCAATACATGCTGTGAAGAGTAGAATAACATGATTTATGAGGGAATCAGACTCTTGTGAGTTTGTGCCTTCATTTGTAGAACTCAATGGTTTAATGAGTTGAGTAAACTGATGCTAAGTTTGTCCCTTTTTCTGCTCAGATCAAAGGTTTGGAGTGGCTGGTGTCACTTTACAACAACAACTTGAATGGCATCCTGGCTGATGAGATGGGTCTAGGAAAAACGATCCAGACCATCGCCCTCATCACTTACCTCATGGAGTACAAGCGCCTCAACGGGCCCTTCCTCATCATTGTACCTCTCTCGTAAGCCCAATCATACCCTCTTCGGTTGCCTTAGGGTTCATCTGTGCTTTTACAGAAAGCTTGTATGAGTTGAGTTTGAATGTTAAACAGAGTATACAATGTGTGTCTTTTGTTCTCAGAACTCTATCAAACTGGGTCTATGAGTTTGATAAGTGGGCGCCATCTGTCGTGAAAGTCTCCTACAAGGTCAGTGGCACCAACTTGGATATTCAGTGTTGGGTATTAAAACCACATATGCATTCAGTGATTTGGCTGATTTATGCCCTTCAGTTGTTGAACATAAATGGAAAGTATTTCTGTTAATTTTCAGGGATCTCCAGCTGCTCGTCGTGCATTCGTCCCCATCTTGCGCAGTGGCAAGTTCAACGTGCTGCTCACCACCTACGAGTACATCATCAAAGACAAGCAAGTGCTGGCAAAGGTAAGGAAGTATCCTCAGATTTAGCTTTAACATCAGTGGCTCAGTCTTTTGTTTCTTTTTCTGACTTCTACATTTCCTCCCAAAGCTTCGTTGGAAGTACATGATTGTGGATGAAGGCCATCGTATGAAGAACCACCACTGTAAGCTGACCCAGGTCTTGAACACGCACTACTTAGCCCCTCGACGTCTGCTGCTCACAGGCACTCCACTGCAGAACAAGCTGCCTGAGCTCTGGGCCCTGCTCAACTTCCTCCTGCCCACCATTTTCAAGAGCTGCAGTACGTTCGAACAATGGTTCAATGCCCCCTTTGCCATGACTGGAGAGAAGGTGAGTTATGTTCTGGTTGGGTTTATTTTACGTGGTTGTGGAGGTGAGGTCATACAAATAAATACTCTCACATACCAGGTAGTACCTTTTTATAACTGTGTGCTTCAGGACATTTTTTTTTTAACGTTTTTTGAATGTTCTCACCTTCCTTGGTCTGTTTCTCTTAAGGTTGACCTGAATGAAGAAGAGACCATCCTGATCATTCGACGTTTACACAAGGTGCTCAGGCCTTTCCTGCTGCGCCGACTCAAGAAAGAAGTCGAGGCCCAGCTGCCTGAGAAGGTAAAAAATAAATAAATAAATAAATATATAACTGGATTTTTATTATTATTATTATTATTATTGTCAATGTTTATTTATTTACTGCAACTGTTACAACTTCTCTGCTTGCCTGCTAACGAGTTATATGTGGTGTCCAATGACTCAAGATCAATATTTGGATATTTATTTTAGTCAAATAATTGCTATAATTTGGTGGCTTTTCTAACTTTTTCCCATTATTGTTGGTTTATAGGTGGAATATGTGATAAAGTGCGACATGTCGGCCCTACAGAGGGTTTTGTACAGACACATGCAGGCCAAGGGAGTCTTGCTCACAGATGGGTCAGAAAAAGACAAGAAGGTAAGGAGACAAAGATAATGTCTTTTAACTTTAATTGGTGAAACCTTATTTTGTAGACATTTAAAGTAATACATTGCTGTATTTTCCTCTCTAAATGTTCTAGGGTAAAGGTGGCACGAAGACACTGATGAACACTATCATGCAACTGAGAAAGATTTGCAACCACCCCTACATGTTCCAGCACATTGAGGTAACAAACCGCTTAATCAGGCTGTCACTAAATATTTTCCTCACAATTTTACTAGAAGAGTAAAAACAGTTTGCAGAATGAAGGTAGAATTCAGAGAAAAAAATGTGACCATGTTTTGTTTATTTGCTTTACAGGAATCTTTCTCTGAGCATCTTGGTTATTCTGGCGGAATCGTGAGCGGGTATGTAAAGCTTGTAATTTTGTGTGTGTTGTGTTTCTACTACACGTGTGTGTGTGTGTGTGTGTGTCTTTTCTGAGGGTTCATATATGTTGCATGTGGGCTCTTTCATCCTCTTTTTGCTCCTTCTGCCTGTCCAGCCCTGACCTGTACCGCTCCTCTGGGAAGTTCGAGCTGCTGGACCGTATCCTGCCCAAGCTGAGGGCCACAAACCACAAAGTGCTGCTCTTCTGTCAAATGACCTCACTCATGACCATCATGGAGGACTACTTTGCCTACCGTAACTTCAAGTACCTACGTCTGGATGGTGAGACACCTATGACCAACGTTTAGTCTTTTAGCCGTCTGTCACACACCTCGTTACGT